CTAACAGTATAATTCCCTTTGGTTTCATCAAAAAATTCTCAATATAAACCACTAATCTTTTACGTCCAATCTGCTATACTTAAAAATCTGTGCTGCAGAAAATTTCAGCCGCATATTGTTGCCTTTACCCATCTATTTGCAATATTTTTTGAATTAAATTTCTTATACACTTCATAGATCATCTTGGCTTCCATCTAAGATTGATCTATTAAGAAATTCATCTCAAAAAATGATTTTGTGTTGCTGCAAATTTTCGTCGTATCCCGTTGAAATTTCTCGACGAGAATTCTGCAATCGCGACTTGCACCAATTTCCTTGCTGTCATATAAACTGTGATTTTGCTATCAATTCCCTCCTCAATTCTCTCAAGTTTTTGGTGGAAATTACGTCGAGAAACCGTTGTTTCTTCGATGACAATTCTACTCTTACAAGACAGCACATACTTGCTGCAACTTCCACTTATTTCTATCAAACCTTTGCTACCATCTACCACAGATCCAAAACTTTCATCTACAGCCCTAAAACTCCACCAAACCACACCCTCAAACTGCACCCAAAATAGCCACAAAACAAGCCTAAACCATAGCCTACATCCACCAATCTACCAACCCTTTCGACTATCACCTCTCTCAACCAATACATGCCTTTAACCCGACAACAAAAGAGAGATCTTAACATCACAGATTTGGCGACATATACTATGGCATCTGAGGAGGTAATCAATGCTAAATTCGAAGCGTTCGAGACGCAAATGGAGGATAAGATTCTGACGCTCTTTACCGAACTCAGATTGGGCTGACCACTAAGCCCGAAGAAATCACATCAAGGAGAGAGCTTTGCCCAATCGCACCAAGCCCAAAGATATGACTTCCAAGAGAGGGGAAGCTCTATGACCAACCCCAACTATCCATGCATGAGAGTAGACTCCCCTAGATGGGAAGAAGGAGACCCGATTGGTTGGATCTCGCACGCGGAGCGATATTTTCGGTACCATAAAACTGCAGATGCATCTATGGTGAAAATTACAGCTATACATCTTGAAGAGGATGCTAAATAGTAGTTTGACTGGTTTGAATATACTTATGGAGTCCTTTCATGGCGACAATTCAAAGAAGGACTGCTGATCCGCTTCAAACCAACCGATTACGAGAATATTGACGGACAACTAGCAAAGATCCAACAAACCTCTACCATTCAGGAGTACCAAATCAGGTTTGAAAGGTTATCTAATCAAACTCATGATTGGTCTCAAAAATAGCTATTGAGGACCTTTATTGAGGGCTTGAAGCCGGAGATCCGAGGAGAAGTTAAAGCGCGACAACTATGTACGCTTATGGCAGCCATCTCTTTCGCATGACATCAAGAGGAGCAATTGAACCATGAAGCTCAGGGGACTAGGGTCGCTCCTCAACTAGTAATATTGAAGCCCTCAGCCCCCCCTACTATCGACCAAGTCCCTACACCAAAGAGGTTAACAAGAGAAGAGCTTCGAGAGCGATATGCGAAGGGGATATGTTGGCATTGTGACGAGCCGTGGAGCTGTGAGCATCGCTGTAGTAAAGGGAGACTTATTATGATTGAACCAATAGAAGAAGAGGTCATTGAACATCCAGAAGAGAGCCTTGAACATGAAGAAGAAGATGCAGAAGAAGAGCCACAACCGACCGAAGTTACGGTACATACACTAGTTGGCTACTCAAACCCGCAAACGATGAAAGTTGAAGGCCTTCTCAAACAACTACCGATCACTGTTCTCATTGACACGGGCAGTACTAATAACTTTCTAAACAGTAAGGTTACTATCCAGATGGCCTTACCTATCAAGAATTGCAACAGGTTTGACGTTAAGGTCGCCGATGGATGGATTTTGAAATATGATCGTAGGCGCCCACAAGTGAAACTATTGCTGATCATGAGGCCTTACCAAGAGATAATTGCATATTTCTTCCTTCTCCCTCTTGATGATCATGAGGCCATGCTCAGAATTAAATGGTTGACAACATTAGGTGATATTTCTTGGAATTTTATACAACTAATTATGAAATTTTACAGTAAGGAGAAATAGGTGATACTGAACGGGAAACGTGGGGGCGATGTAACGACGATTTGCACACAACAAATGGAGAAGGTTTTGCATAAAGCATGCAGCAGCTTTTTGGTACAACTTGAGCAGCAAACTAAGGGAGAGCTAATAGAATTTGAAGATCCAATCCTACTTCCTTTGCTTGCTGAATTTTTAGATATATTTGACGAACCGTACAACCGACCTCTTACCCATCGGCATGATCATTATATAACGATTCTTTCAGGCAAACCTCAAGCAAATACTCGGCCATATCAATATCTACATCTCTAGAAGGATAAAATAGAAAGGATTGTAAAAGAGATGCTCAAAACAGGAGTTATTCGGCCAAGTTGCAACCTCTACTCTTCACCGGTGCTACTTGTACTCAAGAAGGATGGAACATGGCGAATATGCGTTGATTATCGAGCTCTCAATGGCATAACCATCAAGGACAAATACCTTATTCCAATAGCAGATGAATTGCTAGATGAAAGGGAGCACAAATCTTCACAAAGATGGACCTTTGATCCGGGTATCATCAAATATGAGTGTGCGAAGAAGACATACCGAAAACCACCTTTTGAACACACAACAACCACTACGAATTTTTGCTTTCTTCAACAGAAGGTGGAATATCTTGGGCATATTATATCAGAGGAAGGTGTGACAGTGGACCCCTTCAAAATTGAAGCAATTCAAAACTGACCTACCCCAAGGAACATAAAATTGTTACATGGCTTTCTAGGTTTAATAGGCTACTATCGTAAGTTCATGAAAAACTATGGAAATATTAATACACCACTTACTTTCTTACTGGAAAAAGATGTCTTCCAATGGTTAGACAGAGCCTCCGCTACCTTCGACAAACTTAAGGCAGCCATGACGACGACGCCGGTGCTAACACTACCAGATTTCAACCGACCCTTCATTATTGAGGCCGACGCATCTGGAGTCGGAATTGGAGCTATTATCATGCAAGATGGTCAACCACTCCAGACACTAGCAAGGCATTATCTCCCTCCCATCAAAATAAGTCAACATATGATAAGGAGATGCTCACCATTGTGCGCGTAGCAACGAGGTGGAGACCCTACTTGATTGGTCGACGATTTCAAATTAAAACCGACCATAAAAGCCTCAAGTACTTTTTGGAGCGAAAGATATCATCCCCTGAGCAGCAAAAATGGGTAACAAAACTTCTTGGATTTGATTATGAAATAACTTACAAAAAGGGGAAAGAGAATGTTATTGCATATGCGCTTTCGCAGCTACCCGAGCAAGCTGAAGTTTCGATTATTTCACGACTTCCTTGAGGATATTAAGATGGAATGGCAAGAAGATTCAGAGAGTAGTAAGATTATAAAAAAATTGGAGGAAGCACCAAGCTCCGTGGCTCATTACAATTGGGACTCAAAAGAATTACATTATTAGGGACGTATTGTGCTTATGATAAATTCTACTTGTATCTTCACGAGTAGATTTTGGACAAAGTTATTCCATATGCATGGTACTAAATTGAAAAGGGTACGGCATATCACCCACAAATCAACGGCCAGACAAAAGTTGTAAATAGGTGCTTGGAGACAGCTCAAAGCCACCCACCAAATATGACTATCCAAGGAGAACTCCAGACCCAGCCAAGTGCCATTATTGATCGATGGATCGTGACTCGATGACGACGACCCACTACTAAAGTGCTAATACAGTGGGTGAACCTACCAACAGAAGATGCCACTTGGGAGAACTATGATGACTTGAAGATCAAATTCCCAAAATTCATGAATCATCAGCCTCGAGGACAAGGCTGATTTGAAGAGGGCGGGTCTATTAGGACTCTAGCTAGGAGAGTCCTAATTGAGAGGGACATTCATGTAAAACCTACATAAGCCGACCCCTATTAAAGAGGTGAAGAGGCCGGCTAGGGTTAGAAGGTTGTTTCTTAGAGATGAATTAGGAGTTGTAAAGGAATAGGAGTCTTGAGTATAAGTCATATTAGGAGTTGGTTAGAAGTAGGAGTCTTGAGTAAGAGTCCTATTAGGAGTTAGGGTTTAGAAACCCTATAAATAGCCATGTATTCCTCCTCTTTTGATAAGCAATAGATGAATCTTTTCTGCAGCCTTTGAGCAGCAACTTGGAGGGAGGAACCCCTATAGAGTTCCATAGAGGCCGATCCCCTAAAGAGATCAACCCCAAGTTTAGAATCTACAAGGGTTCTAACACCATTTTAGGCTTTTCTTGTATCCATAGAACCTTGATCAAGTTTTGAGCAGCTTGCTCCTTCCAAATGCCTTCCAATAAACAAGTTAAGGCTTCTTTCATCCTTTTAGCTTTAGCTCTTGTCATTGGTCCTCCATAAAGGGTCTTTGGTATAATTATAATCAACTTGCTCATTCATATCACTGGCCCCTACTCCCTCAGCGGTTGCCGATCCGTCCACATACACGGCCCACGTATGGTCGCCGGGTCCTTGCCCAATGGCATGATACTCGGGGGTTAGTTCGGAGATGGAGTCGACCAATACCTGGGCTTTTATGGCCGTCCTGGGGGTGTATTGGATGTCAAACTCGCTTAGCTCGACTGACCATCACAGCATCCGACTTGATGCATCAAACTTCGAGAGGATTTGCCGCAGGGGTTGGTCGGTTATTACCTTGATTGTGTGGTCTTGGAAGTATAGTCGCAGCATTCAGGCTGTCTTTATTAGTGCGAGGATCAACCTCTTGATCGGGGGGTAACGTACCTCGAGTCCGATGAGAATGTGGCTAACATAATGGATAGGTTGCTATGCCAATGATGCCTCTCGGGTTAACACTGAGCTAACCGCCCATTCCAAGGTCGCCAGGTAAAGACCGAGGACTTCGCCTAGCTCGGGTGATGCAAGTCGGGGGAGTTGAATGAGATGCGTCTTGAGTTTCTGGAAGGCCTCCTCGCATTCCTAGTTCCATGTGAAGGTGTCGGTTTGTCGGAGCACTCGGAAGAAGGGGAGGTATTTGTCTCTTGATCGTGAATTGAACCTACTAAGTGTTATCAGCCTCCCGGTGAGGCGTTGTACTTCCTTGATAGAGCGTGGAGGCTGCATCTCAATTATGGCCCGAACCTTTTTTGGATTTGCATCTATTCCTCTCTGGTGGATGATAAATCTGAAGAATTTTCCCGAACGAACCCCGAAGACACACTTCGATGGGTTTAGGCGCATGCCGAACCGCTTGAGGGTCCGAAAGGTCTCTGCTAGATCAGCCATGTGTGTGCTTGCTGACTTGCTTTTTACGATCATGTTGTCGACATACACCTCCATGTTTCTCCTGAGTTGTTGTTTGAACAACTCATTGACGATTCTTTGATATGTTCCCCCGGTGTTCTTCAGACCAAAGAGCATTACTTTGTAGCAATATACTCCCCTGTCGGTAATGAAGGCGATGTGCTCCTGGTCTTGCAATGCCATTCGGATCTGGTTATATCCCAAGAACGAGTCCATGAATGTTAGAAGTTCGTACCCTGCTGTGGCATCCACCAGTTGATTTACTCTCGGGAGTGGATAGCAGTCTTTGGGGCATGCTCGGTTGAGATCGGTGTAGTTAACACACATCCTCCAGCTCTCGTTGTGTTTCTTAACAAGGACTATATTTGACAACCACCAGGGGTATTTCACCTCGGTTATGAATCCAGCCTCTCTAAGGCAATCTACCTCATTGATGATTACCTTCTGTCAATCGGGGGGCAAACTTCCTCGGCTTTTGCTTCACCGGTCGAGCCTCGGGGTGGATGTTGAGGTGGTGCTTAGTTACTCCCGAGTTGATCTTTGGCATGTCTTTTGAGGACTATGCGAACACATCAGCATTCCTCCTCAAGAAGTCGATGAGCTGGAGCTGGTTTGCTTCGGGGATTATCGTCCTGACCTTCACAGTCATGTCATGTCAATCCCTCTTCAAGGGTACCTCGGTGAGTTGTTCAGGGGGCTCCAGATGCATCGGTGTCCTGGCTTCCTCACGGGGATCCAGGGCTTGATGGGGGCATGACTTCTCCGGAAGAGTGACCGCTATAAGGTAGCACCGCCTTGATTCTCCCGGATTGCTTCGGGATTCCTTGACCCCTATCGAAGTCAAAAATTTTATGGCCTGGTAGTAAGTGGAAACCACCACTTTCAGTTTGTTAAGTGTCAGGCGGCTGAGAATGACATTGTAGGTCGAGGGCAGGTTGACTACCATGAAGGTAGTCATCGTCGTCTTGGCTCTTGGTTCTTCCCCAATGGTAACGGGGAGGATGGTAGTCCCGAGTGGGGAGATGGAATCCTCGGTGAATTTGGTGAGCCCCGACGCTATGGGAATGAGGTCCTCATTAGTTAGGCTGAGCTTCTTGAAGGCATCGAGGTATAGCACGTTGGCAGAGCTTCTGGTGTCGACCAGCACTCTCTTGACCCAAGCGTTGGCGATCCGGATGGAGATTACCATAGCATCATCACGGTGGGAGCATTCACCCTCCTCGGTTTTGAAAGTGATTTCAGGGTCGGACTCGAGTCTGGGGTGTTTTTCCACCATACCATGGGTGTAGGCCTTCCTTGTCGTTGAGCTACTGCCGTCGGCCGCCGGTCCACCGATAATGACATCGATTTGTTTCTCGACTGGGCCCTTGGGGTGCAGAGATGCTTCTCTTAGTTCCTTGAGGTAGTGCCCGAGGTGACCTCTCTAGATCAATTCTTCAATCTGATTTCAGAGGTAGTGGCAGTCTTCTGTATCATGGCTGTAATCCTGATGGAACCTGTAATATTTAGATCGGTCTTTGTGAGCAGCATTCAAGAGGTTGGGTTATCGCAAGAGGCCCTTCTCCCTGTTCTGGAGGAAGATCTCGGTACAAGATGTGTTCAGGGGGAGAGGCGAGGGCCTCAGGAGTAGTTGCTCGGGTCAGTCGGGCCTTATGTGAGGTTCCACTGGTGCTGCTGAAGTTGTTCCTCTAGCTTGCTCCATCCTCGGCCTCTTGCTATCCTTGTGCCTCCCCGCCATTAGGGCTTCAGCGGCGATGTACTGGTTGGCACGTTGGAACATCTCGGGGATGGTCATGGGCGGCTTCTCAATCAACGACCAGAAGAACCTCGAGGGTCTCAAGCCCATCAAAAATGCTTGCATGATCACAAAAGGATGAGCGTCTAGGAATCCTCAGATTTCAACTGCAAAGTGTGCTACAAATTGGGAGAGCGGTTCGTCTTTGCGTTGGGATAACGCGAGCAAGGTGGCCATGGAAGGCCTGGGTCACACGTTGGCCAGGAAGTTTTGCTCAAACTCCCTCGCGAGCTGGTCAAAGGATGAGATCGAGGACGGGCGCAATCGGCTGAACCATGCTCATGCCGGTCCTCTGAAGGTAGTCGGGAATGCTCGACACATCAAGGTGTCGGAGGTGCTGTAAAGGGCCATTTGTACCCGAAATGCGGCGACATGTTCCGTGGGGTTGGAACCACCGTCATACGTTTCTAATCCCGATAGCTTGAAGTTGAGCAGCATAGGCTTGTCCTGTATTTCCTGAGCGAATGGGAATCCACCCGAGCTGCCTTCTCTTGTCTCACCGCGCGACTTCTGGAATTCATGTTGGAACTTATCTAGGTGTCGGTTGACTACAAATAGTTGGATCCTGAATGAGTCATCCGCCTAGTCCGATGATAAAGTGTCGGGCTCGGGGTGGGGTGGAGCGACTCGGCAAGGTGCAGGCACGCTCTGCTTGGGGAGGCTTCTCGGGTTTGCTATATGCTCTCGGGCTTCTCTCATCCCGACTTGTTCCCTGCCTGGCCTTTGCTGTGTTGGGTCGGTTGGGGGAGCTGCTAGCTGCACGATCTACGGAATGAGCAAGACGATCATCTGCATCATTCCTGCCAAGGTTTGTACTTGCTTAGCTAGGCCGAGGAACACCTCGGGCGAAACTGCCAAGTGTCTATAGTATATTCGGGGCGAGAGAACCCTGGATCATTGAACAGATGCCAGTAGTGATCCGACGTCAGGGCTGGGATGCCCCCATCCCTGAGTACGGGGAGGGGTTGATCACCGAGTCCGAGAGGGGGGTGATCACTTGGTAGTTCTCCCTCGGGGTGAGCTCTTGCGATATCGGCCCTCCTTCTAGTGTCAAAAAATATTGGTGAACTGATGCGTCGTGGCCGATGAGTCAGCACGGCTTGGTTTACGAGTCGATGTCGGGAGTTTGCGATTGATTGGCAGAAGTGCCAAAGTTGACTATGTTAGGAAGTCGGGATGCGGTGGTGTCGTCTGAGGGATGGCGTCTCTCAGTCGGGGCGTCGACTCCATCTTCCGGGAAGGCATCTCTCGATTGGGATGCTGGTTCCATCTTCCGAAAGGGCATCTCTCGGTCGGGGCGACCGCGCTTCTCGGGGTGGTTGAGCTCCTGCACATAAGGCCCTCGTCGGGGGTTCTCGACAATGGCCCCTTATCGAATAAGTTAGTGATTGATTCTTCTTTTTTATCGCTCCTCTAGCCAGATGCCGGCCAGGGACTTTTATACTATTATGTGAGGACCGGCTATATACAGGTTTGGCGCGGTGATCGATTCCCGAGGGGCGAGGTGGTATCTTTATGTGGTCGTCGTTCCGGAATGCATGAAACGACGCTAGGCGGCGGCGTCTCGAGCATTCCGAGACGGGACGTACCAAGGGGTGCCTCGGCATAGCTTTTGACTCGACATGCGATGGTCCCTCCACGTGCCGATATGGTAGGGGCGCCGATGGTAACGTGATTAGAGTCCAAAATATGTCTTATCAACCCCAATGTTCGTATCACTTTTCATCTTTGAAGTATGCGTCTTCGGATATCAGTGAAATGAATGTGATCTTGCGAACTAGTTTAGTTTGTAAGAGAGTGGTGTTTACTTGGTGCATAGTTTGTAAGAGAGTGGTGTTTACTTGGTGCAGGGAAAGGGATCACTAGGCAGGTGTCGTCACTGCCTCATCTGAAGAAGGGAGACATGACGTTGGCACTTAATTGCAACAGGGAGAGAGAGAAAGAGAGATGCATCTGGTCTCCATCAGACGTGATGACTTGTGGTTGCATGAGGTAGACAAGCGTGCATGGGATGCCTCCAGCTCGTGGCCGGATTTCCTATGGCCTCTCTCTCTCTCTCTCTCAACCCTTCTTTACCTCATTTGACAGACCGAAGAAGACGATCCCAATCGCACCTTAATTAAGCTGACCTTCTCTATCAATAGTCTGCACCTGAATTAATTGTACCGCACACTTGGCTTCTAGTCATCCTCCTATGTTTATTATATATTGGATACCTTAACCGGAAAATAGATAAATTGATTTTTCTATAATAATTTTGACAATAATGTTAGGGTTAATTTTAAAGAAAATTATTAAAAATAATTTTTAATGGTTGGTATTAAAAAATGTCCCTTTGACAATAAATACTGTAATTTTTAAGCTCTATAAATATATTCCTAACATCTCTTTTTTTTTTATTATTATTCATTTAGAAGTAACTAAACAATTCCACCTCCTCTATCTTGTTCTAGATAATACCAATTGATTCCTAAGACGGAAGTCTTGATTAATCTATTATATTTCTCTTTAAGATAACATCATGCTTTTTTATTATAAATTTTCTATTATATTCATCTTTTATTATTATTATATGAATGTCATCTCTATCCACACCAAAGGGATAAGAAAATTCATTCTATCAGGATATAGATGGAATATAATGACTTCGAATTCGTCTATCCACATCGTCATTTTGGTGCGCGAACTTCGTGTTTTGATTTTGATAGTAACCCCTCCGTCAACTCAAAGATTTATTTGGTTTCTAAGTTCATAACTTTAAATGACTTAGGCTTTTCTCCGTATTCAATTTTAGTCATCTTATTTTGTTATCAACGATGAAATTATGGGTAGTTCTCATGTCCATGTCCATTATGGCATGGATTGTTCAATCATTGAACTTAATATTCATGTCCATAAGCTCGTTAGTCCTTGTGTTAAGTTATTTTATTTTTGTTTGCTTTCCCATTTGATCTTACAGTACATTTAATAATTGTATTGTTTCCATCCAAAGGTCTTTGAGACTTTTTTAATTTTGTTTTCGTTTGATTTTGATAATTAAATTAAATTTGTTAGAGCATTGAGCATTTGCCTTTAGACATTCTCTTACCATATGCAACCCTCGTTAAATAATAGAGTTTAGACAAACTCTTCCTCTTATATTCAACAGTAGTCTTTCTTATATTCAGTTTCTCAAATATTATTTCTTCTTCCTCGTATAATTGAAAGAAATAAAGTTGATGAACCTTTCTATTAAAAATTTAAAATAGTAAACAAATATAAAGAATCTTGTAGTCTACTCCAAATATGAATTTAACAAAAATATCGTCGTCTAATATGAAGAGGAATTTTGAATAAAGTTATTTAAATTTATGGCGATTTTAGGAGTTCGTTATTTTTAGAAATTATTAGGCTTCAAGTGTCTCTGAAGCATTCGTCGAACAAGTGGAGGGAGACCGAACTTAGTGTCCCAACGGAGGAGGAGATGGATGGAAACTGAGAGAGAAAAAGGATTAAGAAAGAAGGGGAAAACAAAAAAGAAAAAAAGAAATGGGAGAAGATAGAGATGGGACCCAACAGTTATGATCTAATTTGATTTGGCTTTCTTTCTCATTCGGTTTGGACAGATTTCCGCTTGAATATCACTAAATAGATAATAATCAAACCAAAAGATAAAATGATATATCTTTCCATTTATGAAATCCCTAATAATTTTTTGAATAGAAGACATTATTCAATAAAAGAAAAAATAGTAACGAAGTTTTAACCAAACAAAAAAAAGGAGAAAGAAACTCCAACAACAAAAACAACATTATAGAACTTTTAAAAAAAGCCCTATACCACTTCTCAAATACTAATTCATACATTATTTAAGCATTGATATAAGAGAATATAAAAATACATAATAATTATGATCATATATAATTCGATATTTAAATTTTATAATAATCAAAATTAACTCCTACTAAGATTAAAAAATATTTTAGTAAGAAAAAGAATCTCGGTGATATTTTTAGTATATATATATATATATATATTTATAATTATCATTTCTACCTATTTATTTTTTATTTTTCTAAAATTTTCCTCTCCCTTTGCACAATTCAAAGGGAAAGGACGACATAATTTTCTAGTGCATTCAGGGTTTCTCCAACATGTATATCTCACAACATGCACTTTGGTTCACTTGTAAATGTTGTCCTAAAGAACTTAAGTACCTCCAAACCGCACTACTCGCCATATCTTCCAGTAATCAAACAAAAGAACGACTAATATGAATCTTACTAACTTCATCTGCCAGATTTTATTTTAGATATTCATATAGAATTTAGCAAGGATGTTGCGATACAAATGCAGTCCCTCCAACAATCACTCCAAATGATTGAGAGAACCTATTGCTTCATGATAGTCACCTTAGATAGTAGTAGTAGCTGGTCGTCCTTAAGGTTTACTGTGAGAGAAAATACTTTGTATAGTAACTAACATAATAAGGATAATGGATTAAGACTTTTGATGGTAATTGATATATCGTGTCAAACTCTAGATAGAGATGAATATTTCCTAGTATCACGAATATTATGACACTTTAACTCGATCCTAATTCATGAAATCTTTTTTTTTTATGATGGATCGATGTGGCCGAAACAATCAGTGGGCCTTAATCGGCCTGGCCCAATTAAGGGATTATAGTTGTTATTTCTTGTCATATTCCAATATATTTCCAGCCCAATAAATTAGTGATCTTTTTTTTTATTATTGATGAAAAAAATAAATAAATAAATAAATAATATACAGCTTTTTAGTGACCCTATAAAATTAAAGAGTATATAAAAAAAATAAAAATAAAGTCTCGGGAGGGAAACTCGGATCGCTCAAACGGCCTCTTCCTTCGCTTCTCGACGAACCAAAAAACATAAACAACGAGTCCCCCCTTTTTTGGCCTCCTTCACCGGCGATTCCACACGGAGACGAAGGAAGAAGATAGGGTAATCGTCTGAAGATGGAGGCAGCAATGGATCTGATGCGCAGGATCTCCCCCAAGGAGAGCGAGACGGCGCTGTCCGCCCTGCTCTCCCTCCTCCCCCACCACTCCGCCGATCTCCTCTCCCAAGTCGACCTCCCCCTCCAGGTCCTTCCTTCTCGCCTCTCATCCATCTCTGACTCCCGCTGCCGGGTTCCAAGTTGGTATCTTTGCACGTCTCCGTCGCATTTCGCGGTCCGTTTTCTTTCGTATTTGTCGATCTGATCGTTTGTTCTTCTCGTCGATCCGTGTGCCTATCGGTGGGATTTGTTCAAATGCCTCCTTCCTTTGCCTTTCGGTTGCTTCTCCTCGTGAGGTTCTTTCTTTCCTTTCTTCTCGTGCTTGGATTTATCTCTTTGCCGCCTAGGGTTCCATTTGGAGAGCCATATCCATCGGATGTTGCGTCAAAATATGATTTTTTTTGTGGGAAATCGACCGCCAATACCTGATTGTCCGATTATTTTTCGAGGATTTCCTCCTCCGTTTCGTGATATCTTAACGTTTCTTTTATTATTCTTTCGATTAATCGGCCTCTCTTTTCCTTTCTGTTTTCATGATGTCCTCTCCGGTAGCTTTCGAGTTACAAAATCGAGACTTGTTGTATGCCATGTTTGCTAGTCATCATCAATCATGGCAATCATAATGCATGAAGAAAAGACAGGTTGAACTTAACCTTTTTTTTTTTAGATGAGAAAGCAACGATTTGACCTTATTTTAGATAATTTGTTTTCCTATGTTTCGGTTTGTTAGGAAGTCAATTTTATGTTCTTACTGAATTATGCAAAATTTAGCTTTTTTGATAGATGTCCCAGTTGAGTATAGGACAGACATCATCGAGGTTAATTTCACATGACGCCAACGTGCTTTTGCTTGCCTCCAAAAATAACCCTTTCTTTTAATCAAGAGAGCAGGTTTGTATGGATCAGCAGCTGATGAAGGAGTTCATATTGTGCGAGTACAACAGGGATGCGGATTCATATAGGTAACCCTTTCTTCATTTGAACTATTCTTAGTGCTCTGGCCTCAATACATTTCAGGATAATGGTGAATTATATCTTGTGTTTGTTTTCTGGCTGGTTCGCTTCGCCTTCTGAAAGTCTCAAGTATTGATTTCCATTGTTTGACATTAATATGCAGATCGCCATGGTCTAACAAGTATTTCCCTCCTCTGGAAGATGGACCTCTTCCCTCTCCGCAACTGAGGAAATTGGAAATTGAAGCAAACGAAGTTTTTACTGTTTATCGTGACCAGTGAGGTCCTTTACTTTCTTGGGTTTAGACGTTTGTCATGATATAATTTGAATGACCATGAATTATGTTCTATGTGTTTATCATTCTTTCTTCCCGCTCTAATCCAGAAACAAACGTTCTTCTTTAGCTTTTCTAGTCCGGTAGATATAGTAACCACTTTTCTCTACACTCTTGACTCATAGGTATTATGAAGGGGGTGTTTCATCTGTTTACATATGGGAGGATCACAATGAAAGTTTCATTGCATGCTTCTTGATTAAGAAAGGTACTTTCTTTACTTTATTTTTTTTGGGGGGTGGGGTGGGGAGGGAAATATCCCTTGAAGAAATGGTGCCCTTTTTTAGTGACATGTCAATGTAATTTCAAATGAAGATGGATCAAGAACAGGGCATGGTAGAAGAGGATATTTGCAAGAAGGGTCCTGGGATGCTGTTCATGTTATAGAGGTTTTCTCAAGATGGACCCTCGATTATTAAAGTTGTTTGAGTGCTTTCATACTTTCTGCCTGGCTAAAGTGCTTTTAGTGGTAATTATTAGACCTTTACATGTACTAATAGGTTGGACCAGAGGAAGAGGGAACAGCTCATTATCGCTTAACCAGCACCGTCATGCTGTCTTTGACCACAGAAGACAAATCATCAGGAACTTTTAATTTGTCAGGTTCAATCAGAAGACAGGTACCTTATCGGGAAAGAATTTTATTCGCTGGTGGTTATTAGATTTACTTACTGATCTCAGTTTTAAACTTTTGCTGACATTACCTCAGATGATAGGCTTGAGTATATTGCAAGCCAAGTAGAACTGTACAGAAATGGGCTTTTAGAGTGCATGTGGAATCAAATGAAACATCTATTTTGCTAGCATATCCATCATTGCCATGCTTTTTTATTCCCACCAATTTACTGAAAGGATACATTATATCTGAAGTTAAGATGTAATGTCTGGCAACACAATTTAATTAGTTATTGGGTGTAAACTTAGGTTGTTCCACGACCCAAGCTGTTTACCTCTTGGCTCGCTTGGATGGATTGCTTGTTTATGTCGTGCCTTATTGAATGTTTGAAATTTGTCAGTTTCATTAAAGCTGAAGCTAGTTAGTCAACAATGTCCAGACATCCTAGTGTTCTTTAGATGGGTTCATCCAATGTCAGGTTTTGGGTCCTTTGGATTTGCTTCCATCTCAAGTAGGTACAAGGCAGTTAGATGTCATTGGTAAGATCATATCCATGTTATTGTAGCAATCTTTTTTCAATGTGCCGTGTTACAATCAGCTAAGCTTGTGCAAAAGAATAAAATAAAAAAGTTTAAATAATTGAGGGAAGATAACCAAATAGTCTCACCTGACAATTTCATATACAATGCAGATGAGTCATGACCTTTCGGTGGCAGAGGGTCACTTGTGTAACATGGGAAAGATGATTGAGGAGATGGAAGGAAAACTCAGAAACTCGCTGGATCAGGTATTCTCTCTTATCCTTTGGTGATGCTAGATTTCTTTTGAAGTTTGAAGTCACTTTCGCCACGTAGTGGTCAATTGCCTAAACAAGGATCACATAGTGGCAAGAATTTTGACAGAATCCGATGAGTTCTGAATTGCCATCGTGTGCTTTGACAGGTTTACTTCGGGAAGACAAGAGAGATGGTCTGCACCTTAAGGCCGCCACCTGATGGGATTCAACTTAGGCTGCCCGAAAACTGAATCAATCTTGTGCATATATGTTCTGAAATACTAACATGTTCCGCTGTCAAATTTTGTCACTTTTTAATGTTTGGCCTTGTGAAGACTAAATTGTACTTGAACTCCGTGCACGATGCAACTTAGCTATTCCTGATAATGACAATAAAAAACTTGAAAGGATTGCAGATCTTGTATCTGAAGTTTATTTTAACAGCCATTCTCAGTAAGGACCAAAAATGCCTTAGTGAGAATGTACAGTTCTGTTCTACAACATCAAACATGAGCCCACCGTGTGTGATTAAGATCATAATTGCAAAAATCCTTATGTTTTCTTTTTGAATGTCTTTCAGGGACGAGATTATAGATGGGGGTTCCAGTCTTTCTATGAAACCACTGGTCAAGGATGCCTTGAACAAACACCAGACAGTGCAAGAAGGTAAATGCTAAGCAAAGGACAAAGTGTTATTTCATATCTTGTGTGATTTCTGCTTTCTTGGAAGGTTTTATGAATCTGTCATCATGCTCTACAATGGATGGTTTTCTAGTCTCATTCCACCTTCCCAGGATTTTCGTAAGGGTACCTCTTAAGACAGAAAACCAAGACATTGGTCATAGTGTGGATTAGATAATAACTAGGAAATGATGGTTAAGTTAATTTAATGTGTGGCTTTGAACCCTTGATTTGTAGCTTCCAGCCATTACCTTCATGCCTTGTACTTTCTCAAGTGAACCTAGTACTTGAAATTTGGAACTATTTTGCTGCAGGGTCTTCTACTATTAGTACTTTCTCAAGCCAGGCCTTTTGTTGACCTTATATATATATATATATATATATATATATATATATATATATATTGTGTTGTTGCTCCATGGAAATTAGCATGCAAGTAAGTACATGAAAATATTTGAATTTGTATATGGCTTGTGACAAAATGTGAACAAGCACATAAATAAATGTGGCACAGATTTGAGGGTTTACGCATCATCTAAAGTTTTCATGTTGGCTGGTGATTCATCATCAACGACCAGTGCATGTATAAGCTGGTGTTCCAGATGACTTCTTGAAACCAACACACACACACACACAAACAAATTGTTGTTCTACTTTATAAAATAGTTCGAATTATAGAACCTTTCTTTCTGTTTGGCAGAGGGTTTCTATAAAACAAAATAATGAAAACATAAGATGAACATTTTTGTTTCCAAAAAGCCTCTTAAGGTGATATGATGACAGTGATTTGTTTAATTACTTGACAAGAAGTCAAATACTACTACACTAGCTGGTCTTTATGAGCAACTTTTCTACTCTGTGGCCACCCTTCTCACACCCCACAACACACGGGCCAATGCCCTAAGCCACTCCTGTGGCTCTAAATCACATCATCTTAGCCAACAAAACCCACCACCCCCCCCCCCCCCCTCTACAAGTAGGCTTGTGGAAGGTTCTAAACCAGTGGTATTTTGTTAAACATCGTCAACGCCATCCTCCCTGCTCTTCACCCACAGCATCATTCTTCTTCATGTATGGAGATCGGAATCACTGACCACGGCGTTCCAAGACGATATTAAATGCACAGCGCGCTCTCTCTCTCTCTCTCTCTCATAACCATGTTGGGAGGCCATGGAAGTTACAGAGCTCACACTTCGAAGCGTTACTTTACCCCCTCCACTCTTTGTCTTCTTGCCTTCGAGCTCGCAGTTTCCTTGAGAGAAACCATGGGACGCCGCTGGCAGGCCACCAATCACTCTCAGTAGCCAAATACTCTATTTGACTTCACTTCGAGCTTCATCATTTCATCGAACAGATCACATACACGCACAAATGATTAGAGAACATCCATCTAATATATTTGGTGAAATGCCGCGTTGTTTTCTCTTCAGCTTTGTTATGTTGATTGCAGCGATTAAAGAATATATACATACATATATGTGAAACATTAACTATATTCCTTCTTACAAGAAGGATGTAAGAATAGCGTACCAAGATTTCAGCCCCCTCCGTTGGCCAAAGAAATTTAAAGTCGATCATCATTAGACTCTTATTGCATACATTTAAGCCTAACGATAATGCCACGCCTATTAAACGCTAAACGCTCCTCCTTTTAGCTACCACTACTTCAATGAGCATCCTTTGCCCCTCGTGATCTCTGATCACGACCATCCAATCCAACGAAACCTCCAAGACATACAAAATTACGGGTACGTCGAACATTTCGCTAGAAGCAACCACCAACACTCGACGTTTACAATCACGTGATCTTTCCCTCTCGAGATTCGTGCCTGCACCTGATGAGTGGTGCGGATGTTTGAGGGAGCTGAGAAGTCCCCCTTCCTCCCCCTTTAAATGATGCGCCTCTCGCCCTTCCTCTCTCCTCCCCACATTGCGCCTGTACTCTTCCGTTCTCCTGCACCTCTCTTGCTTGTTGCTGCTTCTGAGGAAGAAAATGGCGCTGATTACATACGCTACGACTGACTCGAACTGGTGGGTGTTAGCCCTCCCTGCCTTTCTTGGCGCCGACACCCTCCGCTGTGACACGCCCATGCTCCTCCTGTCGCTTTTCATTGCCTTCGTTTCCCTGGGGCTCCTGTCGTGGGCGCTGTCCCCCGGCGGCTCCGCTTGGTCTCATGGCCGGGCTCGCCGTGGGATCGTCACCATCCCCGGCCCCCGCGGTCTCCCCGTCTTCGGCTCTCTCTTCGCCCTGAGCAGCAACCTCCCCCACCGCGCCCTCGCCGCCCTGTCCGCCGCCGCACACGCCAAGCCCCTCATGGCCTTTTCCATTGGTTCCACCCCTGCCGTCGTCTCATCCGACCCCGCCGTCGCCCGCGAGATCCTATCCCACCCGGCCTTCGCCGACCGCCCTCTCAAGCGCTCCGCCCGCGAGCTCATGTTCTCCCGCGCCATCGGTTTCGCACCCAGCGGCTCGTACTGGCGACTTCTCCGCCGCATCGCCTCCACCCACCTCTTCTCCCCCCGTCGCATCGCTGCTCATGAGCCCGGCCGCCATGCCGACTGCTTCGCCATGCTAGCTGCTGTCGCCGTCGAGCAGCGCCGGGCGGGCGCCGTCCGCCTCCGCCCGCACCTACAAAACGCCGCCCTCAATAACATCATGGGCAGCGTCTTCGGGCGGCGCTACGACGTTTCGTGCCCCAGCGGCATCCCGGAGGCGGAGGAGCTCAAGGCGATGGTGCGGGAAGGGTTCGATCTCCTAGGCGCCTTCAACTGGTCCGACCATCTCCCGTGGCTTGCGCGGCTCTACGACCGTGGCAACGTTAAGGCCCGGTGCGCGGCTCTTGTGCCGCGCGTTAGCAGGTTTGTGAGTGGGATCATAGCCGAGCATCGCCTTCGGAATCCGAGCCAAAAGCATGCCAACGACGACTTTGTGGACGTGCTTCTCTCGCTGGATGGCCACGAGAAGCTCGAAGAAGACGACATGATCGCCGTCCTTTGGGTAACGTCTGTGGTTTTACGCACTATTCTTTGTTGCACTGAAATGTATAATTTGTTAAAACATTATTATGGAGGGCGCAAATGTAAAAAGTACTTGTACTATTAGCCGTCTGATGTGGTTTCCACGGCAGGAGATGATCTTTCGGGGCACGGACACGACGGCGTTGCTGACGGAGTGGGCAATGGCGGAGTTGGTGCTCCACCCGGGGGTGCAAGTCAAGCTCCGCCACGAGATCGACACCGTCGTTGGACCCCGGTGCATGCCCACCGATGCCGACGTCGCGAGGATGCCGTATCTTCAGGCCGTGGTCAAGGAGACCCTCCGCGCGCACCCGCCGGGCCCTCTGCTCTCCTGGGCCCGGCTCTCCACTGCCGACGTCCACCTCAGCAACGGGATGCTGGTCCCCGCCGGAACCACCGCCATGGTCAACATGTGGTCCATCGCCCATGACGCCGCGGTGTGGGCCAGCCCGGAGGTCTTTTGTCCGGAGCGGTTCGTTGAAGCGGAGGGCGGCGCCAACGTGGACGTCCGTGGGGGGGACCTACGACTCGCGCCCTTTGGCGCAGGGCGCCGCGTGTGTCCCGGCAAGAACCTGGGCCTCGCCACCGTGGGGCTGTGGGTGGCGCGATTGGTCCACGCGTTCGAGTGGGGGCCAGCAGCCGGGGCCCCGGTCGACCTCGGCGAGGTGCTGAAACTGTCGCTGGAGATGGAGACTCCCCTCACGGCCACCGCCACGCCCAGGGCGAACGTCGTCGGTGTCTTTTAGATTCACTCACATCAAACAAGTAGTAGACAAAATAGGTCGATCAGATATCTAGTGATTGTCGTCAGGGGCTGCTCCGGTTTTGGCTATATGAACGAGTCTCGGGGGCCTCTCTATGGTTCTGTTGTAGATCTATATGTTTCGTCGTTTGGGTTCGCAGTGTATGCGAAACCCCTAATGGAGAGTAATGGGTGGTCGTATGTTTCTAATGCTATAATTAATGAAGTGTTGACATGTTGTGGTTACGTTTTGTCTTCCTGAGAATTGCTTCTCTACAACATGGAATGCAGTGAGAGAGTAATCTGCAGTATCGTGATGAGTGGGCATTATTGAAACGAACGTTATCTGAATCCAGAGGCGATGTAGCTAACAGCAGCCATTGATAAGCATGCCATTTAGCTTCTCCAGAATGCGTTGGAAGATGGAACTCTGAACTCACAGGACAAGGAGAGAGATAGAGTGACCCATGGAAGTGATACAAGTGTTTCTATAGCTACAACGAAGGAAGCGGTGTTGAAACGTTATGGTTATGTTTTGTCTTCCTGAGAAATGCTTTACTACAACATGGAATGCGGTGGGAGCAATCTGCAGATATGTGATGGGCGTAAAGGCCATTGTTAACACAAGTTTATCTGAATCCACAGGCGATGTAGCTAGCAGCAGCCATTGCCATGCCAATTAGCGTGTCCGTGAGACGTTGGAAGACGGAATGCGATCTCGAGAAGAGAGAGAGAGAGAGAGACAGAGGGCGGCGAAGGAATTGGGCAACGCAAAAGTTGAGAAGGAACGCTGCCTTCCGGTGGACGCATTAACTGTGTCGTACACTGGTGGTATCGCTTCAGTTCGACGCCCGAGGCGAGCGCATCCATTAAGACCGAAAAGCAGAGCAAAGTGGCGCGTGGGCGGAGACCATTCGTCAGTACCGCGCCGTACCTGGCGACATGGCAACTCAAAACAGAAGAGAGAGAGAGAGAGAGAGAGATGATGAGGAGGAGATCCGTTGCAATCCTTGGCCAGAGAGGTCACGCAAAGGGTTCGGTAAGGGGTTGGATGGATGCCATGCACGCTGCGTATCTACGACATACCCTAGCCTAGAAATAGCAGAGCTTAGGAGAGGAAGAGAGGAGAGGAGGTCGGTCGTCTCTTCGAGGTAGCTGCAGCCATCGCGATACTGCGGCCTCCATTAACCATTTGATTTGGTCAATGATGTTGCTGCGGCGCTTCAGTCAAAGTCACGTCAGCCAAAGTCACGTCAACTGCTTCGCCGTCTCAGTGCCTTAAATACGTACATGAACTAAAACGTTCCCGTGTGCAGAAAACAGTGATCACACACCTCTTCACACAAGCAGTCTATTATTTTTCCTCTATGATATGTATACTATATTAAAAAAGTATGCGTGAAATGAAGTTTAGGAGAGACGTTATTCTGTCGTGAAATTGGTTGATTTTATCTCCTTATTATACCTACTCCTAAAATGATCAGTCTTCTGGTAATCTCTCGCAAGAAGATGACACATCAATGATCAATTAAATGGATGGGTAAACTATTATTGTTGATCCACCGAAACATAATTTGGAATGGGGCAAATATAACTTAGTAAAGGCAACTTATGAGGACACGCTTTAATTGTTTTGAATAATCATATGATAAATAATTTAATAATATATGATCGTTTGGTGCCATGATTGATATTATATGGACACTTGAATGTATATATTAAGAGACATATATTATTATTATTATTATTATTATTATTATTATTATTATTATTATTATTATTATTATTATTATTATTATTATTATTATTATTATTACTACTTACGTGAGAGAACTTTGATTTAGGGTGCGTTTGTGTGTGTGAAAACTACGAATTCTATGAAACCAAACATATATGATCTTCCTCTGTGCAGTGGGTCTACGTGGAGGCACTGCGAGCCGCCGTCACCCATGCATGCAGATGATGCAACGTCGTAAAAGCTACACCCATGCAGCGGCAAACTGCCGACCAATTGAGTCAGTGAAGAGTGACCGAACTCATCGAAATGGCAGGGAAAGAGTCACTCTCGGACCTGCACGCAGCATTAATCCATACGTGTTCCTCCTTTCTATCTTCCAATCTTCTTTATTTCTTTGCTTCCATGATGGGATGAGACTGCAGGACATGGATGAGACCACCTCTGTCTCTCATTGGTCTTTCTCAAATTTAATGAGTCCGAGTGAAATTAATCGGGCTTAATATAGATTTGGTTGGAAAATGATATAATTCAGAGGCTTAAGTTGTTGGATAAGTTAAATCGTATTTATGTGGCTCGCTTGATTGTGGTTAATTTGAGTCAAAGACTTTAACATGCCTTTCATGGCACAATAATGTTGTTGGTAGGGTGGCACATCAAACACTCCTGAGGTCCTCCTCTTGTTCCTTCTCCAGTTAACACGTTAATGAGAGCAATGAAACATGCTATATGTTGACCATCATACCAAGTCCAAAAAGGTCCTTTTCGCGGACAGTAGTAGCCAAAACCTAACAAACAAATAATATAGAGAGAGGATAGAGAGATCAATATAATATAATGAAGGTTTGATATGGACTGCCATGCGGCAACTCCTGTGTCGGCCTAGTCAAACAGACGACGACCGCTGACCGCTGACCGACAACGCTGACAGAGTGGCACCGGAGAAGTGGGTCCGAAGCGGGCCCCACTCGTCGGCTCTTGTGGGACCCGGATGCATCCGGAAGCGCGAACAGTGGCCGTTCCCACCTTCCGCCTTCGGTTCCCATGGCGGTGGGTGGGTCATCCCTCCTCCTCCTCCTCCTCCTGCCACCGACACCCTGTTCTCGAGGCTGGGGGCCTGCAGCCGAAGGAGGGAGAGGAGGCCGGTGGAGGCCGCGAGCAATCACCGACGTGGTTCACGTGGGATCACATGCGCCACACCCACCGATCCCCATCGCCGTCTCTGAAGCACGCATTAAAGCATGCGCACCATCCTTGTCTTCCCCCTATATACGTAGCCACTGCACAAGGCATGCTACGTCCCACGACACGTTCATGCTCCGTGCATGAAGCCCGCGGACTGCACAAGCATTCGAATGGTGTGGGAAGTCCGCAAAGCTTGCGCACAGTGACAAGAAAACTTGTTAATCTCTTCCCTCATGCAACACAACACTCTGATGGTATTCACAGGATAAGTAGAACAACCAAGCAAATCTTCTTCTTTATTAGGATATGGAAGAGATCTAAAGAGTAATTTGGCAGCCTTGTTTCTTATTGATGCTACCATGTGCTAGTAAATCTTTGACCATTTCTTCAGTATGATCCTCCAGAAAAAGAATTATCTTGTGATCATTAAGAAGGTACCCAACAAATCACTGATTGATGAATGGTTGTTCTGGTGGCATGTGCTACTGAGTCCCTCCCACACTTGTATGATTATATATATATATATATAATCATACCTCATGAGTCTCTCCATTGCCTCATGGTAGACAATAGAGAGCTTCCCCACACTAAACACAAGCTTTTGTGCTAATACCTCATGAGCCACTCAGCATTTTCCTTGTACATTGTTGCGCACATATTTCCTTCTTTTTCCCTAATAAACTGATGGGTTAATCATCCCATCCTTTTCTGAAAAATGACATTAAATTTAGCTAGTACATATCGAAATATAATGAATCCAAGATTATAAGTTTCTTGGTTTAGTAGATCAGGTGTAAAAGAGCACATTCAGAACAAGCACATATATAGCTTAAGCAATTTAGTAGGAGTTAAACCAATGTATGGCATGACAGCTAATCTGCATTCAAACCTTTCTCTATACCACCCTTAGAATCGATTGATTATGCAAAAAGGGATCAAAGAATTTACATGTATATATATCCTCATCAGCCATGGATTGCTGATCTAAATCTGCCAATCTGTCAGTCAACTTAATCTTCATCACTCCATGTAATGGAAGCCATGTGGGATACGGATATAGAAAATATCATCCCTTTCATTCCTAGCATAGATCAAGCTGTTCAACTTTATGTCTCCCTCTTTGGGGTTTTCTATATAGCTTTCTAGATGCATTTGTTATTGAGTGATAACCACTGATGCTTGCTTGTGCCTCCAACATAATTATCACTTCAAAGAATCTCCTCAAGAACTGGGAAGATGTTTGAACATGTACAAAGCTTTCACACATGAGCAAAGGCATAGAATAGTCAATAGAGAACAATAAGCAACTACATGCAGAAAAAAAATTGTGTTGGATTCTGGTCATTACATGGTGAAATCATTGAGGACTCTTGGTCTAAAGATTTCTTTGTCAAGATCTCTAGGGAAACAAAATACTTTTATGTTCCTGGGATCTCTTGTGGGATATGATTCATCAGCAGATCTCTCTGGTACTCCTCATGCAATTATCAGTGGAGAGCAATGTGTTCTAGGTTCATCTGTATCAAAAGAATAGTATCTCATATAGGAGGGTCAACAGCTCACTATAATGATACATATGCTTTGGTTGGTTGGTAAGACCTGCATTGAGCCTGAAGGATGAATTAAGATATCCTCTGCTGATGTGATGCAATCTTTTTAGACTAGGTTTGATGCAGACTTAAACAAAGGAAGATCACAAGATCACATTCATCGAACAGAATCCATACCTCAAATTCCTAAGATTTCATCCGAAGATAATTAATTCTGATTAAGGTAAGGAAAATGGTGCTCTAATAAAGCATCCTGATACCAAGCAGAAATTAATATTTTTTTTTTGCAATGGTCTCCGAGCAACGACACGTAGAAGAAATCACATTTACTTTAGCTGTTCACACGTACAAGCAACGCCATGCAGAAGAAATCACGTGCATTGCGTTCGACTGACGTAAAGACGTAGTAAGCAGTTCACTGTTTACCTACGATGCCATTTAACTGAGATAAACATGAGTTTCTCAATTCATAAACCATTCGTTGGATCGGACCAATCATCATATTTCATACTTACTTTAGGAATATTACAGTCCTAAAGAGTTACACTGTTTTTTCTTTAAATCTTATTAAAAAAATAATGTAATAATGAATTCATACACTCATTGATTGTCGGGCTTTTTAGTGACCTATTATTGCAGAGAAGTTTGTGCCATGAACAAGTGGCTCTTCGTGTGGCTACAAATATGTTATTATACAGCAATTTCCGATAGATGTTGATCAATATATTAGTCGCCGCTGTTGCTTAGCCCAATACATCAAAACTAAAA